AGCGACTGCCTTCGGCTCAGGTCATGATCCTGGAGTCCCGGGATCGAGTCCCGCATCGGGCTCCCTGCTCAGCGGGGAGCTTGCTTCTCCCTCTGACCCTCCCCCCTCTCATGCTCCCTCTCTATCTCATTCTCTCTCTAAAAATGCCTACTGTTGGACCTCCCCTGGCGTCCGTCCCGGAGCTCGGGACACGCACGGCCAGCACAGCCCTGCCTCATCTGGCCTGCGCCCGTCTGCGCCTGTGCCTCCGAGCTCGTGTCATCTGACCTTCTCTTTCACCCCCCGGGCTCCAGCGGCTCCAGCCTTCTTTCTGTACTTCAGAAAGCCCAGGCCCTTTGCACATGCTGTTTTCTTGTTGAGATTGATCTTCAATGTGATTCTTGTGTATGTCTGGCTCCTTCTTCTCACTCCGATTTCAGCTTGAAAAGCATGTTCCTCGACCACCCAATCTAAAGTGGCCACTTGCTGTCACATCATCCTATTACATTTCTGGGCTTATCACTAATCATTAGCATGTATCTTCATCTTCATTATCTGCCCATCTTCCCCCTTCAAGATGTGTAGGCAAGCAAAGCCATGAAAATAAGTACCTATTTGGTCTCATTCATGACTGTACCCCCAGTGTCTGGAACAGAGCCTGGCACAATGATGACTTGGAGGAAAATCATTGCAATAAGCAAGAGACAATCTCGCTGCCCTCCCGAAGTGCAGAATCAGGCCAACCCCTCCCGATCGCTCTCAGCTATGAGTCACTATGGGTCTTCAGTTCAGCAAACAAATGTATCTTGCCTTTGGTGGGTCAGAGAGAGAACTCATATCCTAACTGCCCAATCCTCCCAGCCCGCATTGCCTGTGTATCAGTGAGGACCTGGCGTCAGTGGCAGGAATCACACCCCTCACTCTTGACTCCAACGCAGTCATCCACCTCCATATCCCACACATGCATACTCACCATGGCAACCACAGGCCCTGACTGCATGTACTTCACCAGGCCAGCAAAGAACGGACGGTCCTTCAGGTCAATGTAGTGCTCCTTGAGAAGGTCTTCGGAAGCCTATTGCACAGGACAGAGAATGAGAATTGGCCCCCAAACTTTCTAAGATTCAGCAATCTAGTTATTTCCCACTCACTGCTGTCTAAAATGTGAGCTCTTAGCTCACTGATTCTGTTATAACGCAATCTGCTCCCAACACTACCAGAGAGGAGCAGCGCCAGGGAGACTCAAAGGGCTTCAGCTTTGTGCCAATTTCCCCCCTATTGGCCTTGCCTGATCGGAAGAAAACCACAGAACATGAGAATCGAATCCAGCCATCCCATTTTAGACAGCAAAACTAACAATAAAATGCATTTCCATTCATTGAGAGCAAGCCTTGACTCAAATGTCAGAGGGAAGTCGGGGGGTCTTGGCATTCGACGAGAAGCAAACTGAACCCGGGCACATCCCAGGGAGACTGCTCATTTACTCAGAAGAGGAAGGCCAGGGGCCAGGCGGGGCAACTATGCGATCCCCACAAGTATTTCACAAACCACTCAAAAGTACATGACATCTAGCAATAAATCCAGTTAGCCAGAGAGCGAACCACCTGCTTGGCAATTCCGACTCCCTACGCCGGGCTCACTCTTGGCCACGGCACACAGGCTTGCTCCGGGTCTAACACGGGCCCTTCGTTCTCCCAGGTCTGTACCCTGCGCACTGCAGTCGCACCCACAAACGTGGAGAGCCACTGCCAGAGAGCACATCCAGAACGGCCCATCTCTCAGCCTCCAGTGAGCGTTCCTTGCCAAAGGGACACAGCCACGTGACCACACCACGTCAGCCATTCACCCTTGGCCACCCCCCACCCCATCCCAACAGAAAACTGGTAATGGTGGTCTCCTGACACACATTGACTTGACCTTCCCTTCCCCGAACACTCTTTTAATTCTACTAATTGGTTCTGATTATCTTTTTTGTTTGTTTTTTTGGTTCTGGTTATCTTTAATTTTTTTTAAAGATTTTTTGTTTATTTGAGAGAGAGTGAGAGACAGAGCAGGAGCAGGGGGAGGGGTAGAGGGAGAAGCAGACGCCCCGCTGAGCAGGGAGCCCAATGCAGAATTCGATCCCAGGACCCTGGGATCATGACCTGAGCCGAAGGCAGACGCTTAACCCACTGAGCCACCCAGGGGGCCCGGTTCTGGTTATCTTTAGTCTGCCGAACAGATTACAGGGTTTCTTCGGAGGGGGGACATCAAGTTTTCCCTCCCCACCCTCCACCATGTCATCTGTAGACTCCTGACAGCTGCCCCTCCTCCCATTCTTCCTCAGGCCCACATCCTTGATCGGCAAGTCAGTGTAACGGGAAAAATGCACGCACTTAGGGATCAGAGAGACCCGAGTTAAAATCCCTGCTCCAGCATTGTGCGCCTTCCGATATATTACGTAACCTCACCAAGCCCTGGGTTCTTCACCACTGACAACCACAGGCACAGAAATAAGTATGTCCCTGGGCTGTCATAAAAGCCAAAGAAAACACGTATGTCCAGCACACAGTAAATGCCTGATCAACAATACTTTTCATTTCACTTTGCCTTCAAAACCTAATTTAATATGCAAACTCCCTGGAAAGCAATGCTTGTCCAACACCTGGCACTGATCATTCCATCATGTACCCCCTGACTCTGCACTAACATCCCCCTACTCCCTATTATACTAAAGCAGTTTTCCTAAACATCACACAGGAACTAAATTGCAAATCAAACTAAATTTAAAATGCACTAGCCGTGGGCGCCTGGGTGGCTCAGTTGGTTAAGCGACTGCCTTCGGCTCAGGTCATGATCCTGGAGTCCCTGGATCGAGTTTCGCATCGGGCTCCCTGCTCGGCAGGGAGTCTGCTTCTCCTTCTGACCCTCCCGACCCTCCCCCCTCTCATGTGCTCTTTCAGTCTCTCTCTCTCAAATAAATAAATAAAATCTTTAAAAAAAAATAAAAAAATAAAATAAAATGCACTAGCTGAGTCCAAAGATGACACTATTGATAGGAAAAAAGAATGCCCCCTAATTTATCTGCTTTGACAATTTGAATTCTCATTTCCCAGCTCTGTATGAAAAAGGGTTCTTAGCCAATTAATCCTTTTCATTTTTAGGGTTTTGTTTTTTGTTTTTTTTAATGTTTTAGAGAGAGAGAGAGCGAGCACGAGCAGGAGGGGCAGAGGGAAAGGGAGAGAGAGAATCTCAAGCAGACTCTTCGCTGGAGCGTGGAGCCTAGCACGGGGCTCCACCTCATGACCCTGAGATCACGACCTGAGCTGAAACCAAGAGTCCGACACTTAACCAAATGCGTCACCCAGGGGCCCCCTTCTTTTCATTTTTTGAAATATTGCTTTGCAGGTGTCTTGCAAGCGTGTCTGCTCTCTGCTGTTTCCAGGCGGGCCTTCCCAAGGGCAAAACCACAGCTTTCCCCCCAACATGCCCTGATGGTGCCTAATATACACTAGACACTAAGTGGACGGTAAATAAAGATGGAAAGATCTCCTTGCTGAGAATCGACCTGCCTCAGAGAGAGGGGTAGGGGAGGGGGGAGAAGTTCTCTGAAATTATCTGCTCAGGAAGCTCAAGACCAGGAGCTCAAACACCCGCAGGGCTCTGAGTCAGAAATCACAGTGCTCTCCTGAAACGAATATTGTACTGTATATTAATGAACTAGAATTTAAATGAAAATTTGAAGAAAAAAAATAAATAAAAATTTAAAAAAGGAAAAATGGGGCACCTGGCTGACTCAGTCAGTGGAGCATGCGACTCTTGATCTCAGGGTTGAGTCCATGCCCCACACTGGGTGTGCAGATTACTTAAAAATAAAAA